TCCTAAAGGTGTTGGAAGGCCTATATATATATATATGTCTGTCCATGTAAGTTGATCTGATTTTGCTACTCGCTTTATAGTCCCCTTTTTAATGTTTTTTCTTTTTATTTTATTTTATCTTTTGTTTTTACATGTTACTTATTTTTACGTTTTGTGATCAATTTTATTTGTTGTTATTTTTATAAAAAAAATTTTTTAGTGCACCTCACACTATTGTATTAATATATTTTGCTTCGGCTTTATTGATACAATATCAGAAAGCACTCTGTATTGTGGATATAATCGTGTGGGCTGAAGAAAAGATTATATCTTTCTTTTTCTGTTTTTTTTTCCTGTTTTGTAAATAAAATTTCATCCTTTTTTTTTTCTTTTTTTTAAACTGTTGTTTGTTATTTTTTTACTTATTATTCCCCCCCCTTTTTTTTCTCTCCATATGTCTATTATTTTTCTTTGTTTTATTCTTCATTTTGAACATATCTAATAAGTTCTGTTTACTTGCAGCTTAAGCGCATTAAATGAAACTTATTGTTTTTCTTAACTTTCTTCGTGTTTTCTTGTATATATATATATTATGTATGTATATATATATATTGGTTCAGAATCAGAATTGCAGATTTTTATAAGGTACATACATAAACATCCACGCATACATACATATAAACATTCTGCTTTATTTATATAGATTTAAAATCAGCTTGTTTTTCTTTATTGATAATGCAAAATTCTGGTTTTAAATTAGGTTTCCGTGGAACACCAAGAAACTCTGTAATTTTTTTTCCATAATTATGATAATTATTCTGGTAAAAATTAACTACAAAATAAGGTTTTCTCATGCGAGATATGGTTTGATAAATGAGGTAAAGCGTTTAATTTTTTAATGATACCATCGATAACATAAATAGATTATTAGATAGATAACTGAGATAGATAACATAAATAGACAGATAACTGAGTAATTGCATTTGAGAAGGTTTTTTTTCGTTCTTTTTTAAAAAGTTTTATTATAATGCAAATTTTAAATATATTTTATCGTATTACTTCGCTTAAGTAAAAATAAATAAATACTGAGACTATTTTGTTTATTCCATTGTTTTATGTAGAGTGAATCTCTGAAACTGGCGTAATTCTTGGAAACAAATTAATAAACTCATTCCATCTTGTTGCAAAATAGATGGTAAATGGCATTATCAATCATTAACAAAAATTCACATTTCTGATAAAAATTCACTTTGAACTTCACATTTTCAGCTAACTCATCATGTGTGTAGTGCTAAAATTTATCGATTCAAATTTCCTGCAAGATTTTCTAAGATATATTTGTCCTAAACCGTATTTGTTACCAAATATTAAGAATCATACTTAAAAGAATAAAAATAAATAAATAAAATATTAAGTTTTGTTTAAAAAAATTTACATTTAAAAAAATTAAAATTTCTTATATTTAAAAAAAATTTTAGGTACAATTTTCCTTTTGTTTAAAAAAATAGGTTACAGTCAATGTTTTACTGACACTTTGTACATAAATGTATACGGTTTAGAAAAAAGTATTTGGTGTTTAGGCTTCAAAATAAAAAAAGTTAAATTTTCAAGTTTGTCAATGGTAAAAAGACTAAAAAATCACAACCATTTTCTCAAACAATTAAATGAATTTTAAAATATTTAAAATGTTTTGAAAACAAAAAGAAACTTAATTTCTAATTGCATGAAGGATTTTCTACAAAATGGTATACTAAAACCTGACTTATTTTGCATAATTGGAGAAATAAGAACAGAAGAATACAATTCCCTATCTTTAAAATTAAACTCAAGTTTTTTATTCCAAAGCAGAACAACTAGAGACCATCGGTAGTATGGACTGTTTGCATTGTGTTTTAGAATTTCAGACTCGTTTTTCTCCCCAAGACAATTTTTTAAAACCGACATTCATAAAAAAGGTTCTTGTACTTATAAAATAGTTGTTATAACTTTAACAATGCCCTTAAAAAATCCATAAGTTTGAATTTTTTTATTTACTTGGATGAAATTTGCACTAAATAAATAAATAATAATATAAATAAACAATCGAAAATCCCAATTCAAGAAAAAATTTAAAATCAAATAACTCTGGACCGAATATTAAAGAAAGAAATGTCTGCTGAACTATGTATTAAAGAAATGTCAGCTGAAAATCTTCATTTCATTTTTTTTTAAAGTTTATCTTGCATGCATTATCTGTTTTACCAGTTTGTTCGCATGCACATTCTTTCGTGCATATTTGCATGCAAGACATGCTAATTTGTAATTGAATCTATCATAACAATTTGTTTTCAGGCTGTCAAGCCATTCCATTTAACTAAGTATTAAGCAAAACTTAATTTATAAATATCTTAATTAAAATTCAAAATACGTTTATTAGAAATTATTTGGAATTATGTAACGATTTTAAGTATAATTTATTACACAATTACTGAATTCACAGTAAATAAAAAAAAATTTTCCATTTAGCATTTGGGATTAAAACAGGGAAAACTTGAAAATAAATGCAGTTTTTAACAACTCATATTTTTATTACCTAAGTTTCCAAAACATAAGTGAAGTTAGAAGAACAAAAAAATTGGAATTAGCACTTAAATCAATTAAGTACGGTTTGTTTAACGTTTAAGTTCATAAATCAGGAAACGATTATAACCCTAAAAAATTGCAGGCCAACCAAATAAGAGGAGACCGTTTACCGTTTCGCCATCAAGGAGTGACAGAAAGTGTGATTTAAGGAGAAGATAGTATGAATACGGGGGATGAAGAGAACTTTGGAACTCCGACACAGAGAGAGAGAAAGAGAGAGCGAAAGAAAAAAAAGGAAGGGAAGAAAGTAGAATAAAAAAAGCAACGGACAACAGATACTCTAAATCTCGCGTATCCAGTCCTTTTCAAAGAATCACCTCATGCCTGTTGCACTGCGTGGTTAACTCACGTTGATACCCATGCGCTCATTTTTAACGGATAATATTCACTTGCGATGAAGCGTTAAAAGGATTTAATATTTGATTGATTACGAACGGCTACTGGATGTTAAACTATTGCTTCTGTGGAATTATTAATTGCATCGCTTTATTCTTTTTTAAAGCTTTCATCTTGCTGGTTCGTGAACTTTGATTCCTTATACAAATCTATTAAGAACTTTTTTTAATGAAGTAGTTAGCGCATAGGATCAGTTCCATTTTTTTTGTTTCGTTTTTTAAATATTATCGCAATAATGACCTTGGATGAATTGCATGTTAAATATGCAAATTCTGTTTTGAAAAATAAAGAAGTTGACTATACTGATAGAGTGAATCAATCTAGCTACAGGCTGCAAGATTGTTTAACTGGAATGGATAACAATAACAAGTTACCTTCCTGTGCGGAAATAACAACTCCAGGTAATGACAGGAATAACTTATATAGGATGTTTAGCAATGTTTTCCAGAGACCCTCAGATCAGTGCTTTAAGCCTGGACAATTCGACTATGCTTCGGACATGTATACAAATCCTTCATATCAAGCTGAAACGGTAGAAAAAAGGTACAGAGATGGTTTAAAACCAGGAATATCACCCGAATATAAGAGAGACGCTTACGAAGCGAGTTCTGAAATCACCGTTGGACAATCAAACCCAAGAAATGACAATCCCATGCAAACGTTTGCTGTTAAAGAAGAGGTGTGTTCAGAAGATAATGAAAGACTTGTGGCCTCTCCTGACAAAGCAGAAGATGACAGTTTGGACAGAACTCTGAGTAAAAACGATGACTGCAGCTCTCCAAAGAAATCAGGTGCTGGCATGCGTAAACAAGAAAAACCACCGTTTTCATACATCGCTTTAATAGTGATGGCCATTCAAAGCTCACCGACAATGCGCTTGACATTAAATGAAATTTACGAGTATTTACAATCGCGATTTGAATTTTTTCGTGGAGAATACAAAGGTTGGAAAAACTCGGTGCGTCATAATTTATCACTTAATGACTGTTTCATTAAGCTTCCTAAAGGTGTTGGAAGGCCAGGAAAAGGACATTACTGGACTGTCGACCCAGCCAGTGTTACTGTATTTCAAGATGGATCATCCAAAAGGAGACCTAGAGGTTTTAAACGTAGGTGTCAACTTACTGATTTGCAGAGATTCCCTATGTGTTACCCTGGTGTCAACACTTCATCTGTCATAGGATATGACATGATGAACCAGCCAAATATGACATGTGGACCTTTGCAATCAACTACTTTGGCTAACCTGTTGCAATACCCAAATGAATCTAGTGAGTTTTTGGGTAAAATGAATGCTCGTCAGCCTGTTCGGAGGAAATGTGCTGTCCCATTTCACCCTTATTATTATCAGAACTCTTCTGGCACTATGATTGGTTATGACTCTATTAATCAAACAAGTTCTAACATGGCAGGTAGTACAGGTGCTAACATATCAGGCCTGCAATCATACTTAGCATCCACAGATCAAATGATGGCACAATCTATAGCTCAAACTCAGCAACATTATAATTACAGTTTAACAAACAATTGTACGTCAATCGGTGGAATGCCAAACGGTCATTACATGGCCAGCTGCGCTGTTTCTAGTTCCGCCGTACTTGGGCCGACATCTCCATCGGCGGCGGTGACGACCGATTTTGGTGGAGTAGCTACAACGGTTCCACCAGCGATAGCCTACGGTGGGAATATGCCTGACCAGTTGAATTCCGTTGCGGGAGAATGGACTACTATGATGAATGCATCTGTCGCGGTAGATCCTTCTTACATGAAGCAATCACCGTTGAGTCCAGCAAGTAGTGCAACTGGTTCAATTTCTCCAAATGGTGCACCCAATACACCTGTGACCTCCGAAACTGTAAACTATCCTCAAACAGGCTCAGAACAGGTCTGTCAAAGACTTATGAACAATAATTCTTCAGATTTGCAAGTTCCAGGTAAGATATTAGAACCTAAGTTATTTTATTGATTTTTTTAATTCTTAGAATAATAATAAATTCTATATTATAAATTTAAAAAATGTTTAAAGAGTGATTAAATCGAAAGTATGTAAACTAAAGATCTGAAAAAAACTTGTAAAAGACAAATAAAAAAGTTAAAGTCTGAACATGAAATAAAAGACAAGTAAAATATGTGTCAAAAATTTCAAAAATAAATTAACCGTGTAATTTATATTAGTAAAAACAATAAGTTTATTTTTTTGGTGAGATGATTCATAAATTTTAAAAAATATTAAGTTTTCAAAGACTTTTTATGTAACTTGGTATATTTAAAAGAAAAGATAATCTAATTTAATAAAAATATATTATACGTAAAGAGTCATTAATCTACAATTTTAATTTTTCTACGCAATTTAAATTTATACAACTTTTGCAGCGTTTTTTTTACCTGAATGTATTAATGCTGAAAAATAAAATTTGTGCACTAAACGATGAGATATATATCATAATTTAAATAGATTATATTATTAGAAGAAAATGTTTTGATGTGAAGTTAAAAAAAATGTTACATTTCAAAAGCTGATTTTTTTATTCGAATTTTTTTTAAGAAAATTGATTGTCTTTCTGAATTAAATAAAGGAAATTGTAAAACTTGATTTGAAATAATTAAACCGTAAACTTAACTTGAATGCTTTTTAAAGTAATAAACTATATTTTTAATCAACAATATAAGTTACTGAAACATAATCAGGAATGGAAAATGATTTGTCTTTAATATTTAAACAACTGTAAATATCTGCTCATAGCAAAAATGCTTATTTAATAGTGATTATAATTGAAAAAAAATGAGACTTAGTACATGATAAGTACCTAATGTAATTTTTTATGTATTGAGAACTTGTGTCTGCCATAATATTTTAAAGTTTCAGATTAATAAATTGTGTTGAAATAAATTAAATTAACTTTATTAACATACATCCTTTAATACCTTAACGTTTCTATAATTTAATTAGCATTTTTATTACAATATAAAATATTTCGTTTGTTCCTTGATTTTAGAAACCTTTAATGAAGTATTTATTGAAACTTTTTTTAAGTAAACATTAGTCAGATCTCAAGATCTCATCAAAAGCACTCTTAGAAAGGAAATAAAATATTTTAAAATGCGATCACAGCAATATAATTAGGAGGTCTAACTAAGATTGAAAATCAGTAAGACTGACGAAACGTCAAAATTTTTCTATTTTACTCCAATTTTTAATGAAATTGTTGTTGTATAAAAGAATTGTTAAGATAATTTTTATTTAATAATTTGATTTTATTTAAAAAATATAGTTCAATGGAAAATTTAGTGTGAAAAAGTACAGTTGACATGATTCGTGGCGTGCAACATTTTGTAAACACATTTGACATTAGAATAAAAATTAAACAAGTCTAAAAATATCCTTTCTAAAATACAAACTTTAATTTTCAACTTGAAAAAGTTAAAAAATTTTTAATTAAATATCCCCGAAACTTTTTTTTTAAAAAAAGCTACACAATAATCATTTTAATTTAAAACTTAATATTTTATAAATGTGGATTACAAAATCAAAATTTAGTTATTGGTTCTTATAATCCGTATTTTTTTATACTATCTCAACTTTAAATTTTAATTCCAGTTTCAAATGTTTTTTTTTACCATGTTGCACAACACTCTCATTTTACGAGTCATTTAAAAATTTTCTATTTTGATTCTGAATTTAAACTGTGTTTTTTCTTTTCCTTCATTTTTTTCTTTTAAAAGTGGAACATTCTAGATAAAATAAATGTTATTAATACTAAGTACAAATATCCCTTTGTATACAGTATAAAAAAATTAGAGTTCTGCATTAAGAATTCTGTTAATGGAATCTAGTCGAAAGTCTAAATTACAGTATATTTACTGCTCTGCTAATACTAGATTATCAGCTTAATTACGAAAGCCTGTAAAAATAGTGTTTCATAAAAAAAAATTTACATTACAGACGGCTTTTTATATTTTTTTGTGAGCTGATTTCAAATATGGTACCCATTTTTTTCAATCATTGAAGGGCACTTCACAATATATGGAGATAAATACCTATTGTTACTATTTTGGGGTAGGGGAGAAATTAAACTATTGTTTAACAGGCTAGTGAGGTATTGTTTCTGACGTATATTCTTACGCTCAATTGAATGATGTCATCAAACTTGAATCGATAGAATCTGTAGTTTAAGAATTATTAAGCGTATAAGTATGAAAAGTATAGTTTTGTATTTATATTTACACGAAGAAAAAGATTCTAATTAAATTACATTAATTGAATAATAATGGCACTTCTGGTAAAGAAAAAAAAACATAATTCTGCTAGACAAAAAACTAAAATACACGATATTTAAAACAATCATGTGGGATAATTTTTTAGTTCATATGGAACGGTATACTAGAAATTCTGGTTTTTAAAACAAAATTTTTTATTACGACATATTCAATTAAATTACAAAACTGAAAAGTAGATTTAACCGAATAAATAGTTTTTAGACCATACTCTAAGGCAGTGTTCCCCAACCCCCGGTCCGCGGACCGGTACCGATCCGTTGATCAAATGGTACCGGGCCGCCCATTCCATTGAAACGGAATTTAAATTCCTAGGTTTAAACCCCAAATTATAAATATTTGTGTTCCATTAAAATTTTATTTATTTAAAAAAAGTTTCCCCCGCAGGTAGTGACATAAATTTTTTAATGTTTGTAATGTATCATTGTCTCCGATTACCCCCAGATGGAACCGTCTCATTGCAAGGAAACAAGCTCAGGGCTCTAATTGTTTTAAGGTTCTAGTAAGTTAAAATGTTAAATCACTTTATATTTATATTTTGGTGCAACTGTATTTTATTTTGATGGCATGTTTAAATACAATTAAACTAAAATNCCCCCGCCCCAGCAGGCTGCGGTAAAATTATTAAACGTTGACAGGTCCGCGGTGATAAAAAGGTTGGGGAACACTAGTCTAAGGTATCACGACAAAATTACCAGATTCCATCGAACTTAACAAATTTTTTCACATATTATAAAAGTATATTTTATTGTTAATTTCCTGGCCAAGGTTAATTTCACCAAAATCATAACCAAAGAGCTTCTGGAGAAACCATTTAATTTTTTTTGTGTTCCCATAGAGCCAGAAACTCAGTAAGTTTTACCATATTCTGCTAGTTTTACCATAATTTTTTCGCAGTGTATTTGCACGACTGATGATGCTATCTTGGAGAGTGGAGACATTGCTTTACATGTATTTTATGCGCTGAATCGAGTGGAACAAAATCGGTCGAATTTTATACTTCGCCTGAGACATAAAATTTTAAATATCAGACTTTTTTAAAATTCGAACTGTCAGGAATAATTCGACCAATTTTGCTCAAATTTTGTATCTTGCCATAAAAAATTACATTCTTAGAAATTATGTAAAAAATTGTATAACTTACAATTTAGAATGTTTGGACTATTATTAAGTTAAATGATAAAGAAATAATAAACATTATTTTCTTGCATGGATTTATCTTCGGATAAATGGATATTCAAATTGTGTGTAACAATTTTTCAATACGCTTTCGAAATTCTCGAGGTATTGCGAAATACGAAAAAAGTACAATTAACATTTAGGGGTTCAAATTTTCAACCATTCTTCCGATCAAATTATTGGGACCATATCTTCTAGATTGTGGCAATCCCTTCCTTATTTGAGGATCAAAAATTCAAATCCTTTGAAAAAATGGTTATATTTATTTAGGAAAGTACATTTTTGTGCATGACTTCATGACTTAAAATATAATTTACACTATTTAATTAGAATATTTAAGGTCATCCATGTGAACTATTAAGTTTGAAACCTAGTTCGTAAAAATCCGTTTATTAGTTCCAAATTTATTCAGTGCTCCGGTGTTGTTACTCTTTTCGTATTTTTACATTATTTCATTTACAAAAAATTCTATTAACTTTTTCTCCTTTTCTAACATTTTTTATAGCTTGAAAAAAATTTTTTTTCCAAATTATTCAAAAAAAGTAAAAGTTTTTTGTATTTTTCTTTTGCTGTATTTTTTAAATCTTAGTTTGTAAGAAAGTTATAATAATATAAAGTAAAGAACTATGGGGTGCTTAGACGAAATTCATTAAGTGTACAATGTTTTTTTCCTTTAGGGAAAAAACAGATAAATATATCTTTTATTTTAAAAGTGTTGTTCTTCTATAAAAAAAAATGAAGAATATGATAAATAAGATATCAGTTTTTCCTTAAGCGTGTACAAAACAACACGCTTTCTAAATGTTTCTTGCATAACACAAGGAAAAAAAGTACTATTTTGAAACGGGGTTGAAATCTTTTTATTTTTATGTTTACTTATTTTATCATACATTTAGTTCACTTGTTTATTAACAAGATTTATGTCAAGCAAACTTTTACTCTATTCTCCTCATACAAATATTTTATAACCTTCGTTGAACAGCCGATCCAATTTTAGGTTTACGTTTACTAATGTTCAACTCCGTAACCGATCTTGTAATTTGAACCGAATCCCGAAGACAAGGGAGCCATCATACAAATATATTTTTTTAAATGATTAATACGTATTTAAAATTAAATGCATCATTTTAAATATAAACATTTCTGCAACAATCTGTTGTAGGCCAGGGTAGTCATGGGGGTTAAGATTCCCCAATATCGTAACAGACGACATGGATGGTAACAATGTGGACATCATTGCACACCGACCGCCTTTACTTCCCATTCAGGCTGTTACCCATTGATTTGAAGCTGGATGGACTTGATCAGTGATTGGGGATCGAATCTCTATGTCTGACAGTGTAGGTAAAATGCCTTAATTACCGAGCCCCAGCAGCATTTTAAGCGAATATCAAAACAATATATCAAATATATTTAAAATAAATATTACAAAAATGAATCCATATCCTTGCTACTCGAAGAAGTAAAAAATTCTGGTAAA